CCAAATTTAAGATATAATACTTTGTATTCTAAATATGCTTTTCTTTGTTAAAACTTGTTATTAAAATTTTTAAATGTTAATAACTGAATGTTAAAAAATGAATTTTAAATGTTAATAACCTTTAACTAACAAATATATGGAAATGATCAAATTTCTTGAAAAACAATGAAGATATATACATTCTTATGTATATATATATATACATTATTTGTATGATCTATTTATGAAAAATTTCTTAAGAAACTTTACAGGTAGTGAATGAAATTAACTACGGTCCTTTACTGATCTTTTCATTTTAACTACTGTGCTTAATGACCAATAAATCTAAAAAAATTATGAATATGGATGCAGATAAAGCATTTTTAGATGCTTTCATCGAATGTTAATAAAAGTAATCGCTGTTTGTGGGATGTCCAAAGCTGTGAATATAAAGATCGCAAAAAAAAACGCGGCATATATAAAATATACAAAATTATAATCAATTATAAGCAAAGCACAACCTATACGTTAACTATCAATTTTTTCAATTTTAAAATTTTATTTTAAACACAAATTTTCACAGCACTACCCGCAAAAGCACTCTTCAAAAATTTTGCCTACTCTTGTGTGTCATACCTGTTCAAATTCGGTCGCTTAAAGCGCGGTGCAGACTATCATACTGGTGTGTCATACGAGTTGCGCTCTCTCTTTCTCAAATTTCTTCTAGCGACCGAATTTGAACAGGTATGACACACAAGAGTCGTCATTTACGCAAAATTTTTGAAGGGTACTTTTCAGGTGAAGTTTTGAGTGAAGATCAAAATAAAATTTTATTATATATTACTTTGCTTAAATAGTAAAAAATACAAAGTTCATTAAGTACAGTAGTTAAAATGAGAAGGTCAGTAAAGGACCGTAATTAATTTCATTCACTACCTGGAAAATTTCTTTACAAATAAATAGACCATACAAATAATAAAAGAATGTGCATATCTTCATTGTCTTCATTTAAAATTCTTTTATTTTAATAAGTTTTAATAAAGAAAATCATATTTAGAATACAGAATATTGTATCTTAAATTTAGGTTATTAATTAATTGTTATTACGACCAATTTTCAATACGTTTTTTAATTACTAGGCTTAGATCGTTAATTTAACGATGTTTATATTTAGATAACAAATTACTTATATTCATCGTTTATAAATTAAAATAAAATTAAATAAAATATTCAATAAATTAAATAAAATATTTAATTGTACTCTAATTTTTTATAAGAATTTTATATAAAAATTTATATTTTTTTAAACTAAGATACAATTAAATATTTAACACAAATTTATAAGTGTAATTTTAATAATAATAAATATTATAATAATAAATATACATTAATAATAAAATAATAAAAAACATATTAAATTTATATTATAATTCTACATATTCCACCTGCTTACAATAAATTTGCAAGGCAAAAATGCTCTTGTATGACGTATGAATCGTTAGGGGTGACAGACTATCATACACAACGCGTATGCGAGAGCTGTTCACCAAAATTTTGGTGAGCACGCCAACACGTTGGTAAAGGTGGCAGACTATCATACCTGTGTGTCATACGACGTTTTTCTCTCTCGTATGACATACCAGTATGATAGTCTGCACCCCGCTTTA